TTCTACCTAAGACCTCAGTTAATCTCACTGCTAATACTGAACCACTATCTTTAAAAATCTCAGGGGTAAACCTGTCTGTGTTTGTTGCTCTCTCTCGCTTCAGATTTACCATAGCTTTTTCGATTTCGTAAAGAGTCGGAGGATCTAAATTAACTTGCCACTCAACTTGACTAGAGATCGTTGGAAACCGAAGTGTGGCTAAAGGCCAGTTGAACTGATCTCTAAAGTGTTCTGCCCATATATCCAATCTCCTGGATTGAGAATGAATAATATGTCCATCTTTCTCTGAGATAGTTTCGCTAACAGTCGGGTTTCTAATACCGGTTTCCTTAACAAGTTTGAACAATTGTCTGCTATTACCTATTGCCGCCGCCTTTTCCATCTCTCTTGCTTTCGCTACCCACCACTATTCACGATCATTATGTAGGCTTCTTGTCAGCTTGTGCTTGAGCTGACTCCACTCTTCGTCGTGTTCAGAGCCAGGTAGGATGAGTTTTATAGCACCTATCAGTGCGGTACATGCTGCTGAAATCCAGTGTTTCTCCCTAACCTTGTGATTTACCGTACTAGCAGATTCCGCTGCTGTTTCCACAGCTTTTCGGATATCATTCCATGCTGCCTCGGGGTGGGCATCACTTACATGGCTGCCTAACTGTTTTCCTAGTTGTTCCTGAAATATACTCTTAGCTTGACTATCACTAAGTAGGGCCCTAAAAGGTTTCCTTGCAGCGTCTTTCTTACGTCCAGTAAGACGCAGACAAGTACGCGCTCGCACTAAAGCATGATCTGAATCTAAGCATGTGCTCTAGAATGAGCGACAGTCTTCTATCGAGCCCCTCCATCGGTGGCTGATAGCGATGTGATGTATTTGGGTCCAACGTTGGGACGAATTCGGGGTCGCCATGTTAAAAGATGTTTTTCCTTATGCTTAAAGTTAGTATTTGCAAGAAACAGGCGATTATCTGAGCATAGCTGCAACAGACGGTCGCCATTGTTTGTTCTTTGAGCCACGACGCTGTAAGAACCACACAGGTGTCTTTCCCTTTCGCTTAGTTTACCCACATGAGCATTAAAGTCACCAGACACTATTACTACATTAGAGCGCCTAGGTTTTCGAAGAATATCGGAAAGCTTCTGTAAAACCCATCTTTTACATCATCTGAGCTGCAGTCAGTGGGAGAATATGCAGAGACGACGAAACGACGAATGTCCTTATCTTTGCGAGTCCCTTCCTTGCGGGACAGTGGATGTGAACTGTTGAGGAGTCTCATACCAGGACGAAGCGTCTGTCCAGCTTTCCAAGGTCTTCAATGGCGGTCTAGCTTATAGCGACTCATGAATTCAACTATCAAAATTACTGCAATCTCTACAAACCTCATTTTGACCAAAAGTATAAATTACATCTGTCGCTTTGTATTATAACAGAATCCATAACGCTTCAAACTGATGATGAGTTTATTTTTGGCCTTTTTAATGAACAATAACCTATAGTTAATTGTTTTTAGTACTGTTCTTCACTATAAGAATTGGCGATCAGTGTAAAATTAGTCATGTTTCAATGTCGAGCCAATGTTACGCGGTTTCATGACTTGATAAACCAGTCAAATCACATCATTAGTAAGAGTACGGGTTATTTTCACTGACAGTAACAAATGAAATTATTGTCACCTCGAAAAGTTCAGAACCCAAACATTATACAGACATCTGACCACCACTTCACTATTTGATCAGTGTACGCTAGAAATTAGTGTTTGGAAAATTGGTATTATATTTATCTAGGAACACTACCAAAATGCTCTAATTAATGAGATGAAGGTGACGCTTTTTAACTGAGTGGTTATGCATTTATCTTATTATTACTAGTTATAAACAGCTCAGGATTTGCATTCATTGCCGACCACCTCCACAAAGTGCGCCAACTCTCATACTGAATATTCGAGTCCTACTAACATTTATATTCTAATGTACAAGAACGTGTCCCCTGTTTCTGTGACCAATGTGACTCACAACATATCAACCTGAGTAACATATTACAGTAAATCCTGTTGCATTTGTAACGGTTTGACTTTGCTTAGAAAACTGGCCTGTCTCATGTCACATATTGTTTTTGAGAATAAGTTATTGCCATTATTGTTGTTAGAAAACGGGATTTGTATTTTGCTTATGAGCATTACCATGTCCCATGTAATAATGATGTGATACAATAAATTTCTTCAAAAACAGGTACTCGCCATTTTGCAGGCATTATCTACAAGCTACAACATTGATCTGCTTACACTATTCTACTGAAGTAGGGTTGTTTAACAAATGAGATCAATAAAAATAGAAGACACTGCACTTGTGCAGATGTACCAGAGGGTTAATGACTAGGTTTATGTTTTAGTATTGCACTGAGTGAAATTTTAAAATATTTTTTCAAAAGACATTGCGCAGATATTGCACACCTGGTTCAAACTCAGCATTACTGCGTTAAAATTCTTGTCGTACTAAGTATTTATGCAACACTAAGTTTACAGCTGTCGTAAAGCAAATTTACAGAGCACTTGGTATGAGGAGTTACCTCGAAAAATTACATACGTCAGGTTAATTTCAAGCATCAAAAGCTCCATACCTGTGCCTGACAGCGTGACGCTGAAAAAGAGCAACAAAGGGACAGCAAAGCACTTGGATATGAACGGTAAATAGTGCTTAACATTTCGTGGTGGAACAGGCAGAGGTATGATAAATTATTAGACTAAATTCATACTAGCTCTTGTAGCTAGAGTGAAATGTGATCAGAGGCTCCAGATGAGAGAATGCAGTAATAACGAGCGATGCGTTATGATATTTACCAAGATGGAGTAAGTTCAAATGAAGGAAGAGAAGTCAGGGTTGGAATAGGGAAGGCTGTTTATTAGAACAGAAAGTGCATATAGAGAGTAAAGTGTTAAGAAACTAATAACCATGTCTTTAATTGTCGGATTTTTTTCATTCGGTGCCTGTCAGATAGTATTAATGTAAAAGTCCGAGTTAGCATGTTATAGTTTGTCTTAGTATAATAGCTAATCCAGCATAAAATTGGAAACATGAGTGTGAATGGTGAGCGTAGAAGAACAACCTCAACATCGTAGATTGATTGACTCCTTCTCAAACATAAAGAGCCTGATGCAAACAAAATGTCCTACCCCACAAACATGGGTGGATTGAAGTCATCGCCTTCACTACCAATGCTAGCTGGTCACTAACTCCATCCTACCTCCTTTTGTGATGTTAAGCTCGTTTAAGCTTATTTTTTGGATATATATCATGCCTCACACAATACTCTGTGTTTCACATCCTGTTGGAAAACACTATTTCTATAAGTACCATTTTACAAGCTTATCAGGCAGTTACAAATTCTGAACTGTGTGTAAGGCATCGATGCAATGCTTTAATTGACTATAGTATAAGGTACAGGTTGCCAATCAGAGTATAAGATTTAGGAAGGGTATATTGCATGATAATTTTTTACCAAAGTATGCGGAAAATTATAGAAATATATGAGTTATAGATAAGGTAACGAGTGGTGAAATAATATTAATGACAAGTCAACATAGTGTATTGGAGAGTAAAAGGCTGATAGAGTAGACAAGAAGGAACTCCCATTAACTTGGTGTTGATGTTACTTTGTGCTATGCTAACCGGTTGATGGGTTACAGATTCCATAGATGCAAGACCACTGGCAGTAGGCAATGAATTGTGATGTTCTCCTGACAACTTTTCATAGTATTAGTAAACGTTCCTTAGCGACCGACCATAGTTCATCAGTATCGATAGGTTCAGTGAGTTAACTGTCTGCTGCAAATCAAATTTAAGGAGAGAAGCATATGTGGTACAACTGCAAGGAAAAAAAGTAAAGAAAACTAAACCTAGAGTTTAATATGGTCTACCCATGAAGAGGGTTTACTATGTCTGTGTGTGACGCAGATGTGTCCGCGCGTGCTCGATCAGTGCAATTGATGGCTTCATCGAGATGTCTTACAAGAGTATATAGTCCATCTACCGTGTGTATTTCAGATGGAAGACTGTTCCATACTAATGCATACTTGATGCGAAAGAAAATTTCTGGAGTTTCTGATTTATATTTTCAAATAATTGACCTAATTCTCACTATGAAACATGGATACGAGTTTTTATCATTCTTATCACAACTTTACACCTGTTATTACACTACGGATTATTAATCCCTAGTTGTTATGTTTACGTAATCTGTTCCACTTTTATCACTGAATCATAAACTAGCTTGATTGGCCCAATAGTTTAGTATATGAATATAAATATTACTGTGTATCAGCCTGATAAATATTTAGTCAAAAACAGCATTAAGAAATTTTTGGATACTATTAAAAGTTATTTCGTTGACAGTAGTTAAAAAATGTAACCTACAAACATTCAATGTGTGAAGCATTTTCATAGTTCACTACTACAATGTTTAAAGTTATCTAGTCACGCAGACTGTTTTCAGGCAGTTCTTTGCTGATAAAGATGAAAATGTGAAATAAACGAGATAGATATCTGAATCTGGTAATAAGTATAAAATCGATATCAGGAAATAGTTCACATTTTCAATCACTCAGTTAACGCTTCCTGAGCGTTTCCTCCTCCCTATAAACGAAAAACCGATTGAGAAAATATTTTGCTCATATAATTTACATACCCTGATATGAAATATTGAGTGTGGTAAACTGAAAGGTGTACATAGTTTTGAATTCCTTGTTTTTTAGCAATTTGATGGCTTAAAAATTTTAAAAATTTCAGCACGTATTATTGAATCGAGTTTAGTATCACAGTTATACGACCTTGTGTTTTTATGCGCTCAAGGTCTCATCTATCACGTGCGCCAGGGTCACGAGGCGTAGGCCATGGCAACGGAATGGTTATTTATGTGTTTTGTACCCGTTTGGGCATGATATTCATCATAACTGTCTCTAGAAATAGTAAACATTCTTCCTAACGATTAATTCATTGTTTTGAATGCTTTGATGCCATCGAAAATCAGGATTGTTTTGGAGGGATACGCGCGGTATCGTGATGGTAAGAAGGTAAGTAAGAAACCAGCTGTACCTACATTGGTTTTTGATGGATGCTTAACGAGTTTTTTTGCTTTGTTCTAGTGGAAGAAACGTTACTGCGTGTTGTCACTCTCACCAACTACTCCAGGTGAGTTCATGATTATTATCAAAACGTTTCATGTATCGAATAAGTTATTTTTCGATTACTTTGTCATGCTTGTAGTTCTCCACGCCCTCAAAGATCCTCTTTTTGTTGTGTTCTCGAGTTGATGGTCATTACCTACCTAAGATACTACCACAACGTCACTACTCGTTCGATCTCGTAATATATTAACTAAACGGTTATGTGTCAGTCTACAAAGTCTTGATCCAGACCAAGTTTGTACGGAATGGCGCATACTCGTTAGTTGGGATCCGTATAACGGTTGTAATTTGTGGTAAGGATTTCAGGTTACTTATCTCGAAACTGATATCAGTGACGCATTTGTGTTCATTCTGTATCTTCCTCTAAATATTAAATATGGTCTTATTCAGTAGACTATATTCTCAGATCCAAGCTGTTTCTTTTGGACTATATTTTCTGTTTGTTCGCAATCTCATCGTTACTAATATCATAGTCATAATCTTTTTTGTCTCTCATTGACCTGTGGCACTTAGTGCCGACTCATGCTTGTCTTTAATTTTATGTTATTTGCGTCCGTTTGTGTAACGTCATCTAACCAACCATGTTATACGTGTTTTGTTATCATATCAAAACAGTTATTACATTGGTTCATCACAGCGACTCGCATGTTGGTAGCGTTAGCTAACTCAATATTCATGTCATGTTATCTTAGCTTAGTGAGTGCTACCTGCAGTGTCTGCTATGTAGTAATTTCGAAGGTTTGTTGGCAGCCTAGTGATTAAGCCACTCGGTTTTCAGTTTGGTTTAAACTCTAAGCACTTGGGATACGCAGGACTTACGGTAAACAACCATCTGAGTTGTCCATCTTGAGTTATGTTCTTCAGAAATGTCTTTTTCCGACTTCGTTATGGGTGTATTCTCAGCGATAACAGATTAATCTCCCTTTCAGGGGATTTATTCGTCAGCTCAGAAGTTGCCGATGAAATAGTCCTATTTGATATGAACTCGGATAATGAGAACTTTTGGTTGCCTTTTATTTATTTATTTGGACTTGAATATTTGTGCCAAGGGGTACCGAATACATATGCGCTACACAGGTCACTTGGTTTGTGTGTAGGCTGTGTTGCTGCTTGGGTGCCCAGATCGAAGCAGGCGCTTTTCTTAGAGGGTCACACTCAGAGCCTTCGACCCAAAGGTCTGATCTACAAGGCAGCTAAGCAACTTTGGGAGATGCAGTTCCATGGTAACCGGTGGCCAATAATTGGTCCATACGCCATTCGTTCTGTCAGGATCTTGGATCCCATGTGCACCACTGGTTTGGTATCAGGGTTTCCTAACTCTCCTAGGTGGACCCACCGTGTCCACCAACCCAGTTAAGGCACCGGACATTCGTGTTTCATCCTGTCGATTTAGTAAACAACAGTAATGCCGCGAGAAGGCAGTGAGTGAGACTTCCCTGGCAGTGGCTGCATACGCGTGGCCATAAGAAAGCATTTCGAGAGGTGGAGCTGACTTTCTCCGCCCTCAGCTGTACCAGGGCATTTGAAAACTACAATTCAAGGATGTTTGGGATTCGTTTTTCCTCAAAATCTATAATATTGCTTTAAGACTGGCCTACATTAACGTATATATTGATTATCACGGGTGAAGTAGTCGAGTATACTGACTACTTGACTTATCTTAGTAATCTCACCAGCCTTGGCAGGATCTGGGCAAGGATACAGGGAACTTGCTTTAGTTTTACTAGTCTCCTTCAACCCCGGACAATGCAAGTACATTGCACAGCGTCTCACTTTACATTAGTGTCTGGGAAACATGATATATGAAAATAGAAGACACATGTAGGCTTCCTAATTTTGATTGTGTCTTCGAAGCACTGCTCGATTAGCTTTGGATCGCGAATCAAGCTGTTCTGAGATTAGATGCATGGTACTTGGCAAGGATAACAATTCTGTTGGTAAGATTTTGAATCTTAATCAACTGAAGTGGTTAGAAATTACATCCACAATCATTACCTACTTCAACGCGTGATGTTAGCTTGTGTAGTAGTGATTTGAAAGAAAATTGGGGCAGACAAACTGAAGCGTGGCATCAGTCTGTGAAGCTGTATACTGTTAATCTGAGTTATTTTGGCAGGTGTAGACCTCTTGGTTAGTGTTGGGCTTGATTATCGTTACCAACATCTCGATCTCGACTTTGGGTCACATGGTTTAGAATTGGTCTGTGGGGCAGATCCACCAACTCTTCATCTTACCTTAGACCCTGAGTTCCAAAATTGTTTTACCTCTTTTATTTAATAACAGTGTTCTCTAAATATGTTCTCTGTCCCTTGTTATTATTTACTACAACTGATGCTACTGTTTAATATTCACCTGTTTAATTTCATTCTGCTGTGCTTATGCGATGTGTTAACTTGATCATATTGACATTTGTGCTAGACTGTATGTTGGTGGTGAAATGACATGTTTGAACTCTGTCTCATCGACTTTGGTTTCAGAGACAGTAGCATTACCAGCTCATAAAAACTGATTAAAAGTCAAGTGAATAGACCTGTACGTTGTGAGCTAGATCTCATCTAAATTATGAGTTCGCTGTTACTTCGGCTAGTCCGACATTATTTAACAATTTTTCGGTTTGATAGCTTATACATCTAAATACTTTCTCATTTCCAGTATATTAGCTTTACATACTCCAAAATACTTTTCACCACATTAAGATGCATATTGATATGCTTCAATATTACTGATTGTTGCCAATAAATGTGAATAGTTGAGCAACAACAGCAATCGTTATCTTTGCAAGGGATGTAGGCATCCTCAAATTGAACCGGCAAAATGGTATGTACGTAGGGTTAGACTTGACACTAAGGCTGAATTCTGTTGGAGATTTTGGCTATTTACGGTTTAGTCTAACATTAATCAGTCTGCATAGAAATAATTTTGTCCATGCTGTCACAAACTTAGGAGATATAGATACCAAAAACAAAACCAGGCTTATCAGTAGACTTCTAAATCTATATAGTTTTAAAGTAGTAAAGTTATGACAATTTATAAAAGTGGTTCCCTTGATAATTTGATAGTTTTAGTATGTGCGGTGATGATTTCATTCCAGTGTAATGAAACAAGACCCATCAGATTTCGAAAAATTGTGTAAACGTTTTGAATATATTGCTCCCATTTCAGAATAAGCCGCAAATTAGTCTTAAGTTCTCCGATTAAATCTAATTATTTTGTTATGTTATTTCAAATAAACTTGAAACGAAATAAATAGACTAAAATTTTTCGCGATAACCTTAGTAAGTTCACAGTAGCAGTATACACATGATCAATCTAAGTGTAACGAGTGTTCACATATGTTAAATAAGCAGCGATTTCTTCAAATGCTGTTACTTGTCCTCAAACCGACACGCATGCTTGACACAGTCATCGTTGCACCTTTGGTTTCACTAAAAAATGAAGAATATCGGAAGTTATGCTTTTCATAATGACCTGTAGTACATTTACACGTACACCTTAATCCTTTAAAACCTTAAGACTTATTTATCTGTTCTATCTTTAGTCAATAGTTGGATACAGATCTATCGTTGTATATGTCCAAGACACGATTATTAGGGCTACTGTAAGAACATAATCAAACTATACAGTTTTCACCATATTTGTGAGTTTTGCAACCGTTTCCTCCAGAAATCGCCACTTCATCGCTGTTTAAAAGCCTATCTTTGAATACCGCGGTTCGCAGGACACGAAAGTTTAGTGATCCGATCACGAATGATGGATCGTTACTGAAGTTCATTTGAATGTCTGGTCTGCTATAGTGACACTGGACACCACATGTATGTTTGAACGAATTACATACTTTTTAACGGTCGGTTATTAATCGTGAAAGTTTTCCTGGTTTATTAAATTAATGTGTAGTTAATGGGTCTACTAATGAAGAGTACTTGAGCACTAATATATACAATCAAAGACTGGGATAACTGATTACCAATAATTAGTGTAGTCTAAATATTTCTTCTATTCCAGCCCAACCGTCGATTCTACTGGTTCCATACAATTCTCTCTCGTTTGAAGTGAACGTTTATGCACAAATAATTTAAATAAGTCACTTAACATTCATTCTAATGATCGATTTCACTTTGCTTTCAAACTACGCTTGGTTGATGCTTTCTTATACTTTCTTAGGAAACGAATTCAGTATAAGGCTTACCATTCAAGTGGATAATGCAAGCAACCTTTCTTTTCTTGAATTTCTCATTTTCTAGTAAAATTAGTCTGTATATTTCAGTAGTGACGATTGAAAGATTCTTCTCTATAGCCATTCTGTTTTGATAGGTAATTCACAGCTAATATAAATCCATACATGATTTCTTAAATTTGGTTTAAGCTAATCATGTGCTGTTAGATATTGTTTGTGAAAATTCAAGTAGTACTTGGATTTTACACGTGTTCTTTTAAGTGCATTGGAAAGTCCCTATGTACTAGTCATTCACTTAAGTCACCACCAAAAGACAAGCATTGAAAACTGCTATTGTGAACTGAAAATCTCAGTACTATTCTGACATAAAACACTTATTGTATTGAAAGCACTAAAATATGCCACATGAAATGAAGTTGTCATGTTAATCAATGAAAAAGAAAATAATTTAAGCAAGAAACAATACGTATATTCTTTTGTCACTAAGCGATAGCAGTACCTTGAAGGTGTCCGTTAAACATGAAGAACTGTTGAAAACCCTCGGACTGAAGAATCTAGCCCTTACATGCTTAGGTCAAAACTGATTACACTGAAGCGTTTCAAAGCTAGGTTAAGGTTACTGTGATTCTAAAAAGTCTGGACAGTGTCGTTCTTCAGTTAGTTATATGTTAACTATTCACATCTACCAAACTTCCACTGACACCCAACTGTACTGAAGTTGACATCCCAATAACTAGATATTTTAAACGTTGACAGTATAGAGCACACATCCTGTCTACAAATACAGATCAGCAATTAAATACAGCATTAGTAGACTGTATCTTAAAAAGTTTCTCTGAATAACACATCTGAACTGCTACCGTGCTCTCCTCAGTTTTGTCCTTAAAATATCACCGACGGTAATCACTAAATAAACCATACCTTACCAGTCTTGGTTTGGAATAAGAGGAAACGCTAGTTGCGTGTCCTTACCGATGTCCTTGTTTAATAGTCGTCTCCAATGAATCATAGATAACTGGCCAAAGGTTACTAAATATTCCATATACTCAACAACAGATCTGTTTCTATAAAGGTGTTACTTAATCTATGTAGTACAATGACAACCAGTATTCAGGATGCATAATAGCATATGCCAAGCGTATTTTCGCACATGTTTAGTCGGCTATTTCTATTATTGGTTTCATTTTAGAGTAGTGAATAATATTTGGTATGATATATCTGCTAACCGCTTAGTTTGTTCGATTTTTAGTCACTCACTAGGTTATATGATGTGTTAGTCGAAACAGCTAAAGTAGTGAGACAATTAACTAACTTTTCACGATGTTCTCTCCAGGGTTTCAGTAGTTTTTGGAATTTGTCAGTGAACTTGCAACTCCCTAATTGATTGTATCAATAACCAAATGCCACCAGATGCTTGTTGCTCAAGTAAATTTAAACAGCTTCAGTTTATTGCTGCATCCAGCTGTTACTTCCATTTCGATATCGCATCCTAACCAAGTTTAATAGTCTTCATGTACTCTTTGAGATTCTTTAATCAATCAATATATTCATTTTATTTTTCATCACAAGCCACCATAGTCTAAAAAAGTCAGTAAGCTGTAAGTATCCTACAGAATCTCATTTCCACAGTATCTTGCAGGTGCAGTAAATCTCTACTTCACACTGGATTGACAACTAACCTTAAACCTAACTCGTCTTGACATTTGTTTATATCATGAGGTGTATCTTGAGTGTTGTTAGAGGTATACATTCTCTGTCTTCCCTTAAACTATGAAATTAAAATCGCTTCACATCTTTCTTTCTACCAACTAATTCTTTCTTCATGTAATATATTCTTATGTACAGTCTTTCTTTTATATATTACCACCATTGAATTGACTACTTCTATGGAACTGGTGTTCATCTTGTGCTAATGAGGTGTAGCATCTTGGACCGATGCATATATGTGGTCCTACGTTGTAGGTGACTGACTAGGTATATCTCATTCGGTTAGGCAAGTTTGTTTAAGATAACAAATTTGTTGCCTATCGAGAAACATGGGGGCTTTATATGATATAGCATGCTCAGAATACAATCTGTTGTTCTAAATGCAGGTGCACTGGCCTACACACCCATGCTACCAGTAACTAGTCGTATTATGATTTATTTGAGTTCAGTCTTACATGTTAACTATTCAGTATTTAATCCATTCTGCTTCGTAGATGTAGGTATTTCTTTTTATTCGAAAGCAGTGCAGTTCAAATAAAACCAAAGATGATATCATCTTCATCTATCGTTAGTTACGACCATCGTAAAATTGACACTCATCTAATAATTGCCTCGTGATGCAGTTTGATGGTTTTCGCAAAGTATCCTATCTACGTCTCTTCCTAATTTCTTTCTCAATTAACTGCTTTGTCCTCTGCCACTGTAGGTCATTGCTCATGGCAATTGTCCAGTGGATCTAGCGTAAATTGCTTCTCAATAATACCCTTAATTTTGATAATGGATGTGATAGTTCTCTGAGTTCTAATTCTGTTCAGTGGAATCATTTATCGTTAATGTTCAAAACTCTGCCTTTATTCTTTATGGACAGTTCTTTTGAGTTCCAGATATTCTCCAATTGTAAAAATGTTGCTCTTGCTTTGCCAATACGTGCCTCGACATCTGCATCAAGTCATCTGTGCTTATCGATGATGCTGTCCAGGCACATGAAAGCTTCCACCTCCTCACACGAAGTGTGAATTAGTGGGTACTCTCAGTTTTGTACCTAAGAAACTTGCCTTTTCTCTTTTGAATGTTGGGGCCGCTTCTACATAGCTGTCTTTGTCTGTCTTTCCTACTGTGTATACAGTAGCAGAGCACAATCATCTGCTAAGTCCATTTTATCTAGATGCATGCAAGGTGTCCACTGTGCTCCGTCCTTTTCATGAACTGTATATGTCTTTATGATCCAGTCAACAACGAACGGAAAAATGAAAGGCGAAACAGCCAACCTTGTTTAACACCAATCTTCCCTTACAATGTATCTGTTACCTGCCTTACATACATGAGATTTTGACTTTGTCCCTCGTAGAGTTCTGCATGATGGTGATGATCTTTTTAGACACTCTGCAATATTGATAATTCCACAAGATTTTTCTATGCACATTATTGAATGCTTTCATAGTTAAAGAAGTTGATTCATACTGTCGTAATAATGTCGGTACATCATCAATCCTACCTATTAGTTAAAAATTAGGGGCTTTAGCCACTAACACACCTCTTTGCCAAAGAAATATAACGGCATGTGAAACTATCTCTAAGACAAAATCACTTGTTTTCTTTTGTACAAAAGTCTTCAGGTCTGACAGTTGTAAAAATTTACATACACGATTTTCTATTATTTGTAGTAATATAAGTCTTCTGTCTTTACTATCAAGATAAATCCAATTAGTATGAACAACACATCTTATCATCGTGACTCATTTTATAAATAAATATATTTTAAGCAATCAGAAATTGGCTTTCATTCAGACCTTTTTTGCTAACCTTCACCCTGCCATCACGTGTATGTCTCAAGGTCATTCTAAGGTGAACTCCGGTCTATATTAGGGTCGAATTATGCTTTGTGAGGGAATATCGTTGAAAAAAAATATTAAAATAACATTTTTATTAAAGCTTTTACGGAATACTACTTAAATACAATCAATTTATCTAGTTTAATTTTTTCCCATTGCTCTCTTATTTCATTTCAAAAGCTTCTAGATAGTTTTTTTCTTTTCAAAGATAAGATAAGAGTTCCGGCATAACAAACGTTTAGCATTCTATTTCCAGTTTAGAGAATGATCTATTCCGTTCTATCCATATTTTTTTTCATTTAGATGATAAAATCGATACTGGTCATCAATGTATTAGTTTTACTAATTGTCTTCATCCTTACATCGTCTAATTTTTTGACTGTAATAAAAATTCAGATTAGGCGGATTGTGACTAGCAGGAAGATCCAGGATACGTGTTTCGTCCTGTTTGGTACGTGTTGGTTAAATATATCAGCATCCCAGTGTTGATGTTCATATCAACAAAGATTGATTAAAATTTCAGTCCTTTATATATCAAACTCTTTCCACTAATGATATAACTAATAATAATTGTTTCGTTAATATTATATAGTAAAGACTCTACCTTATTATATAATATCGGTTGAACTGAAGCATATTATATCAGCTTGTTACATACGTAACCGTTGTGACTATTTTCTCTTACGACATGCAATAGCTTACATACTCAACGATCTTTATGTTTAATCCCATCATAGTTGTTTTACTTTTGTAAACCAATGTGTATGCATGTCACATTTATGAAAACTCCCATCATATAATTGAAGAGTTATAATTCAAATTGCTTTCTAAAAATACTGCTTATCATCTTACTTATTTAACTAAAAAATTAGTTTTTTACTCGACACGTTCTCTTTTTTACAGGTTGGATATTTATCCATTTATTTTAACGCTTCATTATGTTTTAATGATTTTATGTCCTAAAGTAAAGCACTCATCGTTCACACCATTGAGCAATCACAGGCGATTATATTCCCCTCTATTGTTGTATCTAAACTCCGGACTATGCATCTAAATTCACCGCTACCATTCCAATAATTCATCAATATCAAAATTCCAGAATGCGTCGAAGTAATTAGCAATCTGGTTTTTTCTTATTATTCTGTCAGTTGATCCATATGAGAATGTTTTTTCTTCTTATTTTACTTTTTAGACGCTTTACATTTATACATCACTAAAAGTTACGATGATTTTGCAGCTTATCGTAATTCAGGTTCAGTGCTTACTGCAATGCTTCCAGCTGTTCGCAAATTACATGAATTGCCAATTTCTCCAGAATCCCGTGCTTTACTTAATGATACTCCCAATATTATACAAAGATCATCTGATCACAATCATACCTTATCAGTTTATCAAAATACTTTAACTTCTCAACCCTCCACATTAGCCAATTACTGTTCATCGACTACAACTTCTAGTGGTCCACTAATTAATACTGCAGCTCATTCTTATAATACTGCTTCAGGGAACACTTTATCAGGACTCGCAACAGCATCAAATTTAGCATCAAGTGTTGGTGGTCCATCACCTGTGGATGAAATAACAGGTTTTGAAAGTGGTTACCATATGGATAAAGAATCAAATATTATAGTCTTAATTGGTGGATCATCTGTGTATGCATTAGCTCTAGCCGGTATGGATGAAATGTTCTGCTGGGCTGATAACCTAGCTCGTATCGTTGTTGGTGAGTTTCATTTCCAATTTAATACCTCTTTAGAAAAAACAACCTCATTTTCTCTTTATTTCAAATTGTTCATTAAAGAAACGGCATTTTACAGAATTCTCATTTAGTCAATTAGCAACAGTTGATTATTCTAACACTTTGGTCTTAAGAAATTAGTGCATATTTCCTACTTTCATATTTCTGAAGGTTGGTAGTCATCATCAACCGACTGTTTGTGTGTTACAAATAAATTACGTTTTTATTTCATTTGATTGGTATAATACCTGGATTCGAGTAAAACATGCGTATAAAATAAGCTAACTCGTTCATCGGGAATTGGGATATAAACCACACCCTAAAGGGTAGTGGTACTACCCGGTTATCCAAACCAAAGTGTAGCGGGGTTCGAACCCTGAACCGTTCCACAAGCCGATGACTTAGTCGTCAAGGCATTCGAATTTCAACCACTAAATCGTAGTTCCCAACCCCGCTCTACCTACTTCAGCTTGAGCAACCGGGTAGTATCATTAGTCTTCACACTTAAGGTGGGGTTCATACCCAAGTACCCTGTGATAAAACTTACACTACTACCAGTACTAGGCAAATAAGTCAAAGATTCGTATATCCACTATTATTTCTAGCGATAAAAACATGTAATTATTACACTATTCCGCTAGTCTAAATATTTTCGTGCCTACGACTTTCAAGTAATGTAGATATCTCACTAAGATAAAAAAATATAAACTCTAAATTCTTTAGTGCAACTCTATTCAATACATTCCATGGAATTCAGTGGTAATCGAACTGCGATATACGTGAAATTATTGAAACTGGCGATGTAGGAATGTGCTCAGTGGTTAATAATAATAACTTTGTGACTGAAATTATACACTACGTCTTGCATATGTACGAAGTTTGTTTGACTTACTTCGGGTTTAAGTAACCAGGATATAGTCTTTGAATGATTTAAAATTTGGGCAAATAAATCTGTTTGTACAATCAATAAACATATTCTACTTGATGACAATAATATTCGACCTATTCACTGTGAATCAATCTTGCTGACATTTGTTTTCTTTTTGCCAAAATTTACATAGAATTTCCGTAACTAATAGTTTGAATATAATCGACTGTAGAATTGCTCTGCTATGATGTGCTGTTAATTGTTTATACATAGCAAATAATATGAAATATTGTTACACCCATAAATATCCATGCTCTTTCAAAATAAAATGGAGTAGATTACCGACATCTACCCAACTTACAATGCTCTTTTCCTGAAGCATGAAATATTCTTGTTGATTGGACTGGAGTTAGAATGTCATTACTGTCTACGTAATTCATTGTATGCATTATCACCTTAGATCATCCATAATCAAGTCACTGAAATGTAAAGGCATGCAAGGTTGTTAACTCGTTCGTTACTTTCGGATTGTTCAACAAACCAGTTAGCATCGTTCAAAAATGGTTCCCTTTGTACGGATATACAATATATCCACTCTCTTAGTGATGAAATGTTAATGTATTTTTATTGCACTGCTGAGAAGTCCCATACTATGACGAAACACCTGTACAGTGCTTCTAGGTTTCCACTGATGGTCTAACATTGATCAGTTCACGATTTTAATGAAATCCAACAATCTCCACAACCCCTTACAGACAATCACTTAATTAAGTTGAATTGGAACATTAATTTTTATAAATTGTTAGCTCAATTATCCCATTTCTCCCCATAAATAAAAATTTTATGTAATTGGTTTCCTCTACAAATATGGATAAAGGCAAAATAACAATCAAGGTAGAATAACATGAGTTCCTGATACTTTTTGGTTTCTTATCAGCTGTTTACAACTATGTATATATTAGAGTGGTAACATTGAGATATGATGCAATATAAAATAATCAAGATTGATGACGGAAGTAACCAAAACAAAGATTATCAATAATAACTATATATACATATATATGCACATGAACAGGTGTAAGGTCGTTGGGAGACGGAATTCAGCAAAATGGGCGACGGGGATGATGTAGCAATTAAATAAAGTTCGGAAATAGATAAGTCGTGTGATAATTATAGAAGTTGTGAAGAGTAGAGCTTCAAATCAATTGAAAATAATTATAGACAGTTTAGAGAAACTCTGTTGTCATTGTCTAGACTTAGAAATTGAAGGGTTACGTAATAATCAGACATGATTTGAAGAATTCACATACGTTAAGAGAATTGAGTAATTAAAAAAAGGCCGACAAATGAGAAAATGGTTCCGGTGTTTATGAAATGAGAATTAGTCTAGTAAAGATTGCATAACAAAATAAATACTGAATAAACATAGTTCCAGGTGATATTAGTCAAAGTTGCTAATTTACCAAGGTTGTAGTAAGTTGGTGACTGTCTCTTTCTGGACACAAATCTGGTTTGAGTTTTTTAATTGCTACTGTTTCGGCGAATCGATGAGACGCTGCATTTTTAAGGATTGATGAATGTCAACAATGTACCCTGTATGAATTAAATGCTGAGCTATTGCACCCTTCAGTTTCAAATTCTTTAAAACGTGCTCGGAAATGCAAACATGTGCTCTTCTCTTTGTTCTTCCAATTCATATGCTTTGGCATGTACATGTTAATTGGTAAATGCAGTTGTAGGTATTGAGAAAAGGGGGTCTGTTGACGTTACACTTTAATACATATATGGTTGTAAGTAGCTGATAAAAAGCCATGAAATATAATGAATTCATATTATTCTACCTCGATTGTTGTTTTGGCATTATTTACAATTTCAAACATTTATAGTTGTAAATATTTTCCCATGTTCCCTGTTTTACCGAAATAAAATACCTTTCAACCATTTTTTTGTTGTTTATTTTGCGATAAAACAAGTTCATAAGTGATTGGTATGCGCTATAATCGATATTATTTATAAGATTGTAGGGTTAACAATAGGAATTTTTATTTCAGTAATCATAACACATCACAAATAATTTGCCAAAAATGTATCCCACATCTATATTCTTGATATTAGACTGTTAATATAAGTTACTTTATTCAGTACTATAGATTTTGTTACAGCAAAAAATATTCTTAGCATCAGTTATTTAATATGGTAATAAATTTCTACCTCACATATATAATGTATCTTAGAAAATTTTCTCAATAATGTCACCATTTGTCATTCATCTTGAGTTGTGAGAGTTTTCAACTAATTTAACTACGCGATCACATTTTTCCCCTTTTTTTATGCACTAAATCCATCAATCCTAATCCCCATCACATCTCGTTTCTTTCAAAAGTAGATAAGAAGAAAGATGTTCTATAAACAAAGACATATTTCTTTTTGAATTTCACAATATTTGTCATAATAAGTTGTAAGCTTATCATAGAAACATATGGTTAGCATATGTAATTATCCAAATGAACGAAGTGTGAAATAGGAAGGTTTATCTCCATATTTCCACAGTTGGCAAATCGATGCCCAAACGATTAGGCAGGTCTCTTAGTTATTACAGTAGACATATTTTCAGCCAATAATTCACAGGTTGAACTGTAATTCAACCAATTCCAGTGGGATAGCCATCACTCAATATCCCTCACATTAAGTGTGTTACATTTGTTTTCTTGATATAAGATTACTACCGCTGTTTGACTGGTTGTTTCGGTTTATAATTTTCATCATAACATGAAAGAACGTCAGAACTCCAACGTTATTGATAGGGTTAGCCAAATGTTTACGGGACTCTACTTCTATTAAGTCTCAACTTCGTACATTGCTTCACCTACTTAGAGTTTAGGCAACCGGGTAATATCACTAATTATTGTGTATTTAAAAACGTGTCTCAAAGCTGATTACATAAACCGTGCTTAGTGAATAAGCTACAACATAACTCCAGCATTACATCATATATAAATTATACTCGATAAAACATAGTTAATGTTCAAATATATAACTGTTGCTCATTAATTAAGGTGATTAACTTTCAGCCATTAATTTACAGGTTCCAGAAAAATATTGTTCCCTTCGTTTTGGAGAACTGAATTGAGTATCACTAGCTCTCACATTTTGTTATACCTTGTGGCCTGTGTGCCCTGTTAATGTCTAACGTAATGATGAAGCCAATTACAGAACAGCGAATTATCTATCGGAACAATCACGCGTAAAACCCGTGTAAGCAGTTTAGAGTACTTATTGGTCCTGCTTCGTGCCTAGCCTAGCCAGTTATGTCCAGAACACCAATCTCAGCCTCTGCAATATGAATTATATTTTTCAAACATACTGCGTTTATATACCAGACAGACAGACCACATCGTACCAATAAAATGGGAAACAACATTTGTACAAGAATTAGCTATGAATATGGGAGGTAGTAATTAATAGACAGTTCATAACTCAAGAATGGTAAAACGTATAATAATAGTTCATAGGTCAAAATGAAGCTCATAATAAGAGGGAACATGAATATGTATAGTTTAGTTACTTAACAATTATACGATAAAAATATACTCATAGTATTGGTCCATAAATGGATCCCAAAAATTACCATTCATTATTCTTATCAGGACATAATACATTTGAAGCATAACTCGAAGCTAAGTACATAAATCTGTACTTTATAAATGAGTAGTTATGTTCAAATGTGTACATATTACCTAAACTGAAAATAAAATTAACTAGTTATAATGTATCAAAGGATATTTTTCTTATTTATCTTCATTGACAATATTTATTATTATTTGAAATGTACATATCTACATAATTTAACAGAAAGAAATGTTTGGACAATTTTGATATTGTGCCAAAATGTTCGGTATTTTTTGGTTTTTTTTTTTTTTTTTTTGTAATCGGTGAAAACAATTCATACACAATTAACTCGTCATTGTTAAAAGTGTGCTGTTAGAAAATAAAAGGAATAGTCTGGTGTTTTATTCTATCTATTTGTATATGATTACACTAAGAATGCGCATATTAATAAGAGATTATTTACAAATATACATAAATGTGAATGAACTATGTCTGAGCTTTTTTTTTT